TGATCTGTTTCCCTTTTAACCCTACTCTTTCATTCACACCCCACATCATATGTCTTGTCCTACATTGCTTAATTCACTTGTACCTGTAGGTATGTTGCATATATATAAATATATATGTATATATATGGTGCTTAGTCTCGTGGTTCTTTGGTTTTGGCGGGGAGGGGATGTTGTTGTAGAGCTAATCTCTGAAGATGTAGTTTATTTCCAGGCATTCCTTTGGGATGCTGAAGGGGCAGGTGGGAGCAAGTGACACTTTTCCTTGGGCTAGTTCTATCTCCCTGTAGTGTTCTGAGGACTGGAGTGCAATTTAACTGTTTGAACCCCATGTTGTGTATAATGGATAAATGCAATTTGTTTATATTTTTTTTTTCTGTGAATGGAAGATAGTGAAAAAGCACTTACTTCCATTTTCATCACAAAAGGTAGCGGCCATTAAACTCGCAATTATAATGAAGAGTTAGGAGTTTATGTAAATCTTTCCTGTGTGTTTTGAAGCCCCTTAATTATTTTGTGTTGAAGTTTATCAGATTTAAATCACAGTATAAGAAATATTCTCTCTTTCTTTCCAGAACGGAGTAGTTTTGGCATGTACAAAGAAGTATTTATATGTAAAAATGTATATAGTATCTTTGCTTAATTTTGCATAAATTGTATGATGAACCAGCTCAAATGAATATCCTATGCCTTTTGATACTTATCATTTCAGATGCTTCTGAGAATTCATCAGCACTCTATGTTGTAAATGTTGAAAGAAATGGAAAAATTATTTATACCTGGAAGGTAAGTCTGTCTCGGAACTTAATAAAAGCATAGCAGAGAATAACTCTGTATGTATATCTATGCCTAACTGAGTCCTTGTAGTTTAACATTTTTTGCAGTGAGGGTTAGAATATGAAAACTCCACTGATTACAACGTGGGGGGTTGGGCAATGGGAAAATACCTGTCTCTACTTCAGACAAAGGTTAAGAGCGGTGAAACGGAGAGTAAAGTACTGACCTGCTTAAGTCCACAGGGTTTTTGCTGTTGCTTTTTTTGGGGGCCAGAATCTCACCCTGAATTAAATGCCATTTCTTTAACAGATAAACTCTTCGTAAGCAGCACATTTTTTCACCCTCAGAATTTCTCAGGGAAGTCTGACTATTAAAGTCACATGCACTGCTTCAGTTAAATATGTTTCCTCCTACCAATATATATTTTTAAGATGCTGTTTATCTAACACTAACTCTGCTTCTGCCTTTCTTCTTCGTTACTTTAAGATTCATCTATAGCACTTCATTGCAAGTAGTCTGAAGTAACTGTTGTTTGTGATGTCTTGAAGTATCTAGAGCTATCCTTTTTAACATAGGATTCTGCTCTCCATGGCATATGTATAGCTTTTAGGTTGAAACGCTTGTAGTTCCAAGAGATTTTTAAATGGTTTGAGAAGGTGTCCCCTTGATGAGACAAGCTGTGGTTCTTTTCTGTGCATCTTGGAGAAATCTGTAGACCCAACTGGATTCTGGAGGATCTTGGTTCTTGAAGAGTATAGATTGGAGATAGCAGGCTCCAGTAAAACAGGACTGGCTTTTGTTTCCCTCCTGCTCAACAATGCTAAAACTCGCCAGCTTCCCTAGGGTTAAGGGAAGAGGTGAGGCCTTCATCAAGGTATAATACACTTGAACTGTGGGTGGATGTTTCCTTTAGTACAAGCATAGGGAGGGAAGTCTGTACAAGACAACAGTAACCATAAAAACAACACTAAAGAATGTGTCAAGTTTGGTTTTTTTGCATTGCTCAAAACTCTAGAAAGACTTAATGCAAGTAACCCATCTAGCTCCCAGCATGAGATCTGGTACTGCATATGTGTGATGTTGCTGCTTTCTAGCATCTATGGAATCTCACTCTAAGCTTTTTTGGGCTTCTGACAGTGGACTCCAACTGCCTTGTATGCTCTTCAGGCTCTTGCAGCTGGCACAAGGGATGAGTTGTAGCTCGAGGTTCGCACATCTAAACATAGGCGTCTGCCTGCGTGCTAGGTGTCTAAGCTCCCGCTGTAGCCAGTAGGAATCTGATCAGAACCGTTGGCGGAGTTTAGAGAACTGGCCGCTTGTAGCCTGTACTTTGGGAGGCGGTGTGTGGGGTGGAGGAAGTGGACAAATACCCACTAGACTCCATTTACTGAATAGGCCAATGACTCTCAGGGGGATTTAAACACCTAGGCTTAGTTCCCTGAACCTAGAGGTAAAGGCTGCATAGAAAGTCACTGAAAATGTTCACTGTAGTTTCTCTTCCCTAATTTTGGGAATAAAGTGACCTCTGCAGCCTGTGTGGTAGGAATGACTGGATGGCAAAGCCTGAGAACTGGAACTAGCAAACTGCACAACTGTGCTGCAGTTTTCACCTCTCAAATGCCTTCCCAGAGGGGATGCTGCTGCTTTTTATTTTCCTGTTCTCTTACCATGATAAAGTAGTCTGATCTTTTTCCCCTGAGTGAGTCAGCCTGCTGAAGAACAGCATCTATTTATTCCTCTATTGGGAAGGATGCTGACATATTTTGTTTGCTTCTACTGTAAGTGTTTTTTACACTTGCCAATGGGCAAACTGGAAAATACTTCCTGGAGTTTTCTCACAAAGAACAAGTGTATCTTAAGGTGGTGTTGTGTTAAATATATGAAGCTTCTCCCAGAGAGAAGTTGTTCATAGTGTATAGTACACATTTCTTTCTTGGATCAATAAAAACTGTGCTCATCAGCTGAAAGTGTTGGTGCCCACTTAGATGCATTGGTGTTGATGGGAGTCAATACCTCCACGCTTGTCTGCATGCATGCTAAGAACATGTGGGGATGTCTGCCCCAAAGCGTGTGTTTGTCTAGGTGGCTTCTGTATTGGTAGGAGCACATGTGGTGGCCCAGGCTGTAGCTGCGTAGCACTCGCCCAGTGTCCTGAGCTGCTAACGCTGTGCCTTGCCTGATGTCCATGCTTTTGTCACATTAGTTATGTCTGTGTCAGCTGCAGTCACACCTTGCGATGTGATACCTTAAAGCAGGACTGAATTTTTTTCTTCCTCTCTCAAGAGTAGAATGCTAAAAAACAGCAAGTGTTGGGAGGATTGTGTGTCTGTCTTTTTACACTTTACTACTGACTTAACAAGGATTCAATCCAAATGTTTCCTTTTCTGAAACAGTCCATTGGCAACATATGGGTATAGTTCTGTGGTTTGGGATTTTACTGCAAACCTTTTAAGAGGAGTATCCATTCATATTTACGTAGAAGAAAAAAGAGTCTTGGTGTATGCATCTTAGCAAATGACAAGTAGTTTTAGGCCCCAATTTGACACTTCCTTTAAATTTCTACAAACTTGTTATAAAACATAAGTATTCTTTGTACTTTGCTATTCTGTTCTGCTAATATACATCATTGCACTGGAAAGCTTACCTGGGGAAAACAGATGCTTTTAGTGTCTGCAGCTGGTCCTTCTGTTTCCTTAAACTTACGCTGGAGAAATCACAATGTAATTACACCTTCTAACAAACTACCGATCTTACTGGGTTAAGGCAGTTTAATATCTCTTTCTCTCTCTCCCCCCTTCATGATAAACTATTTATAACTAATGAGCTACCACTTTTGCAAGACACAGCTGTATGTCTGTGAGCCTTTCCTGTTGGTTTTAGAGCAGTAAACTTTAGCTGTGACATTGTCAGTGAGGATAGTGCACAAACAAGGATGTAAACTAAGCTGAGCTGCCCTGGGTTGTTTCCTAATAGGTACAAATAGAAAACAACCTTCATCTGCTAAGTGGAAGAAAATCAACTGCATTCTGCATGAAATCAGGGGAAGGGGGAGAATGAGCTTTAGTTTCAAGCTTATTTTAGAGTATCGCGTTGTACTGTAGTTTTGACAGTGTCTGTCCTTCGTGACATGGATAGTTGGTGTAAAGGAAGATATTTTTTAACAGAAGTGAAGTCTAGTGTCAGTGCTTCTATTTTGCAAGGCAATACAAGAATCTTTAGAGTAAACATGAAAACAAGCGTCGTGGCTTATGCACAGATAGGGGCACTGATGTAGTGCTGTTACCAGTCTTGTAAAGTGTATTTTTCAGTAGCTAAGTACAGAGGATGTTAGCGTTTCAGACACACTTGGAAAGAAGAACTATTTGTGAAAGCACTTGCTTAACCTTAAATTACGAGGCCTGAAGCCTGTGTCTTAATACAAAGACATTCTGTTTTCCTTGTTTAAATCAGAAGCCAAAGACTTTTGTCATTGCCACAACAATAATGAGACACTCAGAAACAGACCCCTTAGGAAGACAATACTTAGGCTTTTGTTTTAACTTCACAAAGCAAGATGCCATAACTTTGTAAATAACCACAGATTTCTCCCCTCTCCCCCCAAGCTGTAGTTAAACACAATGATGCTCACTGTTTGAGTACAAGCCTATGTGGCTGGATTTAATTTCCACAGTTTAGTAGTTTAGTGCCTACACCTAGAGTACATTAATAGACTTCAGCTTGACTTGATATACAGTGTATGCTGCCAAGCAGAATTTATTTTATTTTTTTTTTAATATTTTGAAAATTTTAAAGCATGGTAAAAATTACCAAGAAGAAAAGTTTTGATTTGTATAGTCTTAGAAGTGCCCTAAATAAAATCATTGTATGTTATTATCAATAAGCTAGAAAGGATGTGTATTATGTTTCCTTTCAAAGGCAGCAGACTAATGGTATCATCTGAGCTTGTGAAATATATTTAGCCTTCAAACAATCATTTCCTAAGGCAAGCTGAAATCTTTTTTCCAGACTGCAGCCAGGTCACTGGAAGCTGTGTTTGGTGATGTTTGATGTTTCTGTGCTCCCTTTTTGGAGCAATGAGCCACCAAGTTGGTGAGGTTTGGAATACCAGCCTTAAATCTTCCAGGGGCCATAGCATCCCCTTTCATTCTTGTACAGACATCTCTCTTCCTGGCCCTACTGCCTATAACTAAAACAAGTTTAGAACCAAAGTGAGAGAGAGGCACTTTGCTTATGCAACAGCTTGTGGGCTGTGGATTGGCCACATTTCAGCTTTATCCCACGTGTTAGTTCTAAAAGGAATTAAAAAAAAAAAAATCTTTGTTCTGTTTCTTGCCTTGCTTTCTTGGAATTAGATAATTAACTACCTGTTTATAGGGCAGGGAAGCGTGTGAGGATGTGTGTGAAGGGGCAGGGGGAAGAGGGAGGTAGAAAAAAAATAAGAACAATGTTTAACTTTGTCTATATTTACATTGCCAGTGCTAATTTGTTTTCATCCATAGGGAAATTGGAGAAATACTCACATTGGATTGTACGATCTTCAAACTAAACAAAATGAGGTGAGAGCAATACCAGGCTTCTCCCTGGTGAAGACAGTGCTGTAGTATTTCAGATTTTGATGCCTTGCAACACAGTATGTTATGTCCTTAAGGAGTATATGCTTGCTTGAAACAGAAGAGGGATGAGAGAAGGTATTTGAATGATGCTCAGTAGTATTAAGCTGCAAAGCGTTACAGAACATCTGAATGACTTGGGAATAGTAAAGCGTCATGTCTGCAATCTTTATTTCTAAACAACCAGTTCAAGCCCTTTCCACTCTTCACACTGAACATGTGTGTTAAGAAGTAAATGTTTTGGGTTTTCTTTCTTATGTGTGCATCCTCAGTCTGTTTGGTGCTACCATTTGTAAGAAATTTTTCTAAAACTGAACGTACTGCAATTCAGTGGCTGGAATCATGATTAACAGGCCTTTGCAGGTGTCCCCATAACAGTATGAAATGGGTGAAATTTTGTATTTACATAAGGGTCTGCTGCGCTGCTCTAGTGGCAACATAGAAAGAACCAGTAAGAAACAAACAAATGAGAAAAAGGAGAAGTGATACAATTGAGGCTTGATACATGGTTCTTCTGGCTGTAAAATGATTTGCTTTAAAAATAAAAAAGGTGTGCTGGTCAGCAGTGTTTTCCTAAGGAGGAGTAATTAGATAGTTTTCTTTATATAGTTAAAAAAAATTATCATTAATGTGTTTCTCTCTAGCACCTCTATATGTTTGAGAGGGATCTACGCATAATCAGTTGTTCGGTCAACAATGAAAGGACGTTATTGGGTAAATATGAGTTTTATCATTAAATTTTTTTGTGTCATGGTAAAGATGATTTAGTTTAGTAGGATGATACGTTTGGGTCTAGAATTACTTAAATCTGTTTTGACTCATAAGTTGCCCACAGCAGTCTACGCATTTCAGTGGATCCATGACGAAATAATGTAGGTAACAATGTAAGACACATCTGTAATGATATTGCTGTCTTAGTAAAACAAAAATCAGAGACATGCTGACCATTTGTTCGCTTCCTCCTCCTGCATTTATACATACATGCCTCCTACATCTAGAAGAGCTGCTGTTGTTCCTTTAACATATATGGTTTTGGTAAAAAAAATTGTGATGCTTGCTCTCCAAGAATGTTTATTAAAGTTAATATCAAATATGCATGCTCATTGTGGTTGTTTTTTTGTTTTGTTCCCCCCCACCCTTAGCGGTCAGCTTCCGTCAATATACGGAGGAAGAAAGAGTAAGTCGGCTATTACAGTCAGGTACTACAAGTGGATTGTTTTAATACTGTTAGAAATATTGTACCCTTTTGCTTTTTCCCCCATGTAATTTCTGTTTAGAAAACAAAATTGTGTATAAAAAAGAATGTTATCTAAAACATGTTCTTTTTGCAGTATCCAAGTATTTAACCTTGTTAATTGAAATTCATCCCGTTAATAATGTGAGAGTCCTAAAGGCTGTGGATAGCTGTGTTCGAGTGCAGGTAAATTATTCAACTAATCTAAATATAAACCTTTTTAATCCACTGTGCTACAGAGAAAAAGTGGTTGAGTGCAGAAATATCTCATGTTATCTTGCAACTGTTACAGAGATAGTGTGCCTGTGTGTGTTCATAGAATGAAAAAAATGAGAAACTTCATAAAATGTTAGATGTAGAATATTTCTCTGACATGAAGGCTACTTTTTTTTCTCTTCAATCCCCCAAAGCTTGCAATTATAGTGATTGGTGACTATTAGTCTGTAATAATAGCTATTTTTATTAATTAAATATCATTAGTGTGCCTGTCTTAATTTAAAAAGTTGTAAAAAAACCCATTTTAGATAAATGTTCTAAACTATTTTGGTCATTTACTTACTTTTGTGAAACTTTCTGTATAGTTTCTTTATCCAGTTGAAGGCAGAAATACTTCTACAGAAAGTCGCCTCTTGCTAGTTTCAGAAGATAAATGTGAGTTAATATTTTGAAAGTACATTGTTGTTCTTTTACTTTAAGATGATCGTTATAGATTATATTTTTGATAGACTTTTACTAGAAAAAAACAGGGGGAAAAAGTGTAAGCTATTTTAGGTATTCCAAATGTCTTTCAAAAACTGTATAATTTAATGGGATTTTTTTTCAATGTTAATAGAATGACCAGCTTTGACTGCAATTATTTGCTTAGTTCATGCATTCATCAGTTATCTTTATTTCTAAAAAAGCTAAAATGGACTTTTATAGCTGCCTATCTAAATTCAGAGCAGATCAATTGACTATGAGGTGGATTGTGATTTAATGTGTGACAAGTGCCATAAGAATAGGACAACAGTTCCTTGGATTCAGCTAACTTTGCATGTTCAGCCTAATCTAATGGGAGGGAATGGATAGAGGTGAACACTTGGAAAAGGCTGTTTATCTCTCTTGCCTTTCAGTCTTATAGAGCGAGATTGCTCTTCCCATCTTTTTGGAGAGGCCCATCTTCTCCGCTAAGCTAGACACCAGCCTTTAGGTAGCTGGACTTAGGTGGGCAGACTTCACCTCCCAATACATTCACATAGTGCTGTGAACTGTATCAGAAACATTTATAACATCTGCTGGGTGAATCTTGCACCCTTTGCACAGGCAAACTTCCAATAACTTTTAGGAATTTTGCATGGGAAAGGACTGTGAGGTGGTAGTCATGCTAGGACGTGCAACAGGGCTAAGGTATAGTCTCAGGCACAGGCATGCAGCTCTGCATGCTCTTTCTTTATAAGTGTGCTCCTTGGCTTGGTTTGGCACGTTTCAGTTAGCGCTTTTCCTGATGGTGCTGCGCTGATGTGGGCAGAGAGCTGTTTCCACCAGGTGGAAATGGTGGTATGGCTGAGGCCACCCTCGGCTCAGGGAAGGAAGAGAGTCCAGGTCTCTCCATAGGCACCTGTGTTCGTGTATCACAGACTTCCTCTTACACTGAGTTGAACTTTCCTGGCCCCAGTATGCTCTTATAGCATTCTAAGAGGTGAGATTGTTTAATAAGCTGTATAAAAGCATATAAAAATATATGTTTGTAATGATTTTTTTAATGTATGTTTTAAAGATATTGAACAATTTGACATTCGTGTTGTTGCAGAAGAAGAACACAAAGTGGTAAGACTTGAAAAATCTTGGGTTTTGATTTTTTTTTTTTTTTTGCTTTAATTGAAAATTTGAACATCTGTAATTTTAGCTAACTGTTTTTGTAGTTTTACACTTGGGCAACACAAAGTATATTAAAGGAAGTATTAGTACTATGGCAACTTATGCAGCTAACCACAAAGCTGATTGAAAAACCTGTATACCATGTAATCTATGAGGAAAGTAATTTATTTTATTGTTTTTGTTGGTTGCTGAATGTGTCTATATGTTAGAAATTGGGAGTAAACATAGCGTATATACATTTTTAAGCCATTTAAAATATTTGCAGAGTCACCTTCGTAACTTTGCCTTTTGGGAGTGTGTGTCTACCAGTAAAGGATTCATTTAAAAAACAAGCAAACAAACAAAAGACATAAAACTTAGATACGCTCCAAGTACTGTGAATGTTCCAATCTCTTTTTGCCCTCATCTCTTCTTCCTGTTTTTAATACAAATTTGTCTTCAACGAATTGTGGATGTTTTGCTTAAAAGACTTATTAATAATAAACCTACATCTAATATAGTAAAGAATTGCGTCACGAAAGCCAATGTTTCGCTTTATGGAGACAAATGTAGGCTTGCAAGGAAAAAGTTAAGGTCCTGATTTTCAGTCACTGTGAGAAAACCATGAAAGACTTCTAAGCTTATCATTGCTTTTAAAGCAGATGAGGTTTATATGCTAGACTACAGTAGTGGAGTAATGACTAAGAGCGTGATCAGAAAAAACAGATTTGTTTTGGTTGACGTGAAATCTCCCTGCATCTTTCAAGAGTGTGTTTATGCAATCCCAATAGTTTCCCACAATTCTAGCCCTTTCTCTACTGCCAGTACTCTCCATCACGTGGCTGAGACAGAAATCCCTTTCGGAACTAACACATCTTCCTTCAATAGTTAATGTAGCTGGTTCTGAACTGACTGTGGTATTTCACTCCGCTTCTCTATGATAAAGAGTGCTGTCTTTGTTCATTTTGAGCAGCTTAAGTGGTGAATTTCTTGCAAGCAAGGAAATCTCAAAGAAAATATTTGGTAGTAGGCGTACCCTGAGAATTGTGCTTCTGATCTCTTTAAACTGAGCACCTTGCACACAGCAAAGGTGGACATTGTGCAGCTAACAAGTAGCATATTCCCTCCAAGCACCTTAGTATTTACACCTCTTCTGTCATTGCTTTTCCCTTTACAGCACAGGCTGTGCATAATTATTATAGAACCTTGTTTGACAACTTCTAATGTTCTTTCTTTCCCTTTAGGTGATTCAAAACACAGGTCAGCTTCCAAGAGCCAGAGTTGCAGATGATCTCATTTGGGCACAATGGGATATGATGGAACAAAGGCTCTTCTACATTGTTCCAAAGGTGAGATGAAAGTCATTCGAGTAGTTTTGTTCCTGCCTATCTCATGACAGTAAAGTTTTGAGTGTGTGGGGTAATAATGTGAGTTTGTTTTTCCTTATAGTAGTCTGTCCCTGCCTCACATAACCTAAAGCAAAAGCCAGACTTGCCTTAACTGCTATTTGTCCATAGTAAATTGCAAGAAGACTGGTAGTCTTAAGTGCTTTCTGTAGAAAAGGGTGGGTTTGTTAGTTTTTTTGGCTTTAAAAAGGTCTTTTATTCAAAAGGATCTAAATCTACCAAAAACTGTTGTGAGTATAATGCTTCTGTTCTAGAGAACTCGCATCTAGAAACTGTTGTACACAAACTTACTGAGTGACCAAATGAGAGCAGGTTCTTGGGTAGAAATGCTGAAACTTTTTGGATTTGTTTTTTTTGTTTTGTTTTGTCTGAGGGACTGTTTGCACTTGATGTATTCTACTTAAATGAAAATTGATTTTTCTTAACTCTTAGCCACGAAAAAAATATGAGTGTTAGGAAATAACAGGAAGTGAACTGTGATGGAGAAACATATTCCTGTTTTTGTTTCTGACATACCCTTTTTCAACTGACCAAAATAAGATACAGTCCTTTTTGCCATATAGGTAGTTATGGAAAACATTTTTTTAACTTTCTAGAATGTGTGTGTGTGCGAGACATGTAATGCTGTGCTTCAAGTCAGGGCCCACGCAATTATAGATGATTGGCAGATAATGATCTGGGACAGGAAGGAAGCCTGTCATAGTGCTATTGTGGGGGGTTATATGTGGTTTTTAAAGTCGTCTTTTGTCCCCTAACTTCTGCATATCTGTTAGCAAAGCAGGTTGAGCGTGGCGAACGGTGTGGAGTATCCAGTCACTTTTCCGTCTATAGGATATGCTTTCTATTTTGTCAGTTACAAAACACATCCTCTTAATTCCAGGAATCAAAGAGTACTTTAAAATGTGTCCAGTTTTATCCTGATGAAAATTTTAACTCAATAGTAAGTCATGAGTATTTTATTATACCATGGTTTTGGGAGGGGTGTGATCATGTGTTCTGGGCACTGATACAGAGATCTGTTTCAGTGTCTTTTATTATTGGAACTTTTGCAGAGGAAAACTGGGTTTTGTTTTTCCATTTGTGTTTTTTGTTTGTTTGTTTGGTTTTTTTTGCATTATATTCTTTTCAAGAATATATTCAGTCAGATTCAAATTGCACCACGGTAAGGTAACTTCAGTGGAATTGCACAGATATTGACCTATAAGTAAGTGACATTCATGACACTATACTGATCTTGCACTCCAGTATTGAAAAGCAGGGTTATCACATGCACTAGACAAAGAAGCCAAGTACTAATTTTGTGTCAGTTTTAAGCGAGACAGGAAAATCTGTTGTGGCTAAAATACAGTGAACAGAACATAAAAATTATAACTGGTGAACAGGTAACTGTTACTAGACTTTTGTCTCAGTGACTGAAATTTGCTGTAATGTGGGAGGTTAAATATCTCACAATTTATTTTCTTTTTTTTTTTTAAAGAATCTATTTTATGATTTTTGGGGTGACTGTAAGGATTAGAGGAGGATAAATAAACTTTGTTAAAATGTTGAATCTGGTGAAATGTGAGTTTGACATATTTTACTGGTCTGAAGTATTAATCATAGTATACTGACCTGACTAACAGGTTTGGTTTTGGTTTTGGTTAACAGCTGGAATCACACCTGGATATTTCTGTAAATGACAGACAATTAAAGTAAGTTGGATTTTTTTTTAATGTTTTGGTTTGCTTTCCTTTTAATATATATGGTAATGTTTTAGAAACCTAATTAAAATTTGTCTGAACCACAGTATCTTTGCAGTTGCCTACGTGGTATTAGAACATAACAATAATATGAATGCTGTGTCCAAACCTCCAGTTCCTCTCATTTTCATCAGGGTCAACTGTAAAATGTAGTTTAATCCTTGACTGCTTTTTGGTGCCATTTTTAAAAATAATTTGTCTGAAGAGCTAGCTATAGGTTAAACCATTCTTCTTCTGAGTATTCTGTACCTATTTAAATTCATTTGTTTTAATCTTGGGCATGTCGTAGTGGTGATGTCAAAATTCCTGTCAAGGGAAGCTCTCCATTTTTATCTGATGTTACATGTTTTACTGGGCAGTTAACCAGACCAGTAGCTCCTTTTTATAGCCTATGAGATACTGCCTGTACTCTTTTCTCCTCCAGCATGCTATTTCCAGGCAGCCTGCACTTTCAAAAGCTAAGATTTGTCTGATTCTATCTGTGTCTACCATGCCCATGACTGCATCTAAGCTTGTCTCCTTAAGGCTCCCTTTTAATTGAGGAAAAGTTAGTCAGGATGGCCTCACTCTCAGTCATAATTCATCTCATCCTCATCTATCTTCAATCAGTTGAATTTAATTCCAAAAGGGCTTGTTTCTCTTTGTGACTAAAAAGGGAGGCCAAAGCTACTACATCAGATATCAATAACTGAAGGTAGTTGAGTTCCACCCTGCCCAAACTGTGTCTCTCAGGATGTCTCATTGCTATGCAGAAGGCTCGGTGTGGTGCTACTGCGCATGCAGTTTGCCCTAAAAGGGCAGTGTATCCTCTTGCAGTTATTACTGAAAAAATCCGAAGCTCGTAAGAGCTTCAATGCTATAATTTTTTTTCAAAAATATTGCAGAAGACCTAGGGGACAAAAAAACCCCCAACCAACCAAACAAAGAAAACCCCACAACAACAAAAAGGCCAAAGCAGACTGACTACAATCTTCTGTTGCATGTTCTGTATGGCAAAAATGGGACTTGTAGATTTTAAAGATATGTGAAACCATTAAAGCACAGGCAGCACGAGACTGAAAGAATGTCATGGTATAACAGGTTCCATGTGAGTGTGATTTTTGTGCTTTCCTTTTTGAGTATTTCTGCCGAAATTAGTGTGCCTAATTGCAGATTAAAATGTAGCTTTACAGACGTAAGAATGGTAGAGTTAGGCTGCAAAGCCTTTGAGTTCTCAGGTATGATGAATGTTTGGATTTCCAGTACTTCATCAGAACTTGCTTTCACTTCAAAGTATAGGAATGGTTGGACAATGCTGCAGAAAGTGAATGTGAAGTTTGCAGGTGTAATCAAAATTGTTGGTGTCTAATAACAGTGTGCAGTCTTGGGATTTTCATTTCTAACAGCATTGAGCGGATTGGTTAAAGCCTAATTTAACTTTCATTAAAGAACATTTGATTATAATTTAATTAGGATCTTTTGATTACATAGTGACTCTTCTCATGATATTTGTGTTGTGATGAATCTCTGTGGATGAAGAATTGATTTATTTAGTGATCTTTATTTGCTCATAGACTTGTGAATTTTGGATATGATTACTGTCAAGACCAAGATGTTGCATCTAAATCTTTGAATCTTCAGGTTTTTACAAGTAAAGCAGGTAATGAATAAATACAAGTATTGTCAAAATGATCTCCACTAGTAATTACTATGCAGTGTAATCGTAATTGATTACTAAATTTCTTCATAAGACATTATATATATATATATATTTGTATTTTTTGTGGGTTTTTTTTTGTATGAGTGTGAGATTTTTATTCCTTTAGAGTATACTTGACAGGTAGCTGCGAGGAGAGGGAGAAGGCAACTATGCACTATTTTTCTTACTAAGTTATTTTACCCTCTGAAAGCTGCATTCCAAGTTGAGCTGAAGAGTACCTAGCGTTTTATATATCAACACAAACAACAAAACAGTCACCCAGAAATTTTCTGGTAGCCCAACTTCAAAGAACTGGTATAATGCACTCACATGGTAAAATATCTCACTCTAAGCACACCGTAGCATTTTCTGCTAGTTTCAGAACACGTGTGGTATCAAAGCATGGTTGTGTATTAGATTAGAGCATTTTAATGTTAAAGCTGACCAAAAATGTTTTAGAAAGTAAACTCACGGAGGGTTTTGGCTAGGCTTGTTGTCTGGGTATCTGATATAGTCTATAATTGTGTTACAGAATGGACACGTGTAAACAGAGCACGTGCAATACAGATTCTAAGAGCTTCATGTTGCTGTTAGTATGTGATACTTAGAAGGTCCAAGTATGTGATACTAAACTTAGTATGTGATACTTAAGGGTTTAGTACATATATGATTACTTAAACCTAGAATGTTCCTTAATAAACCTTTAGGATTTAGGAGTCTCCATGCATCCTAATGCATGCCATGAGCTTTTTTTTGATTAAAAACTGGTCTCGAGAGGCATCTGTTCCTCACAGATGCCTGCATGTTCAGCTTCTAAATTAGAGCATGCTGCCAAGCAGAGATGGTATCTGATTAACCTTTGAATAGTCCGGAGAGTTGTGTAGGGATATGACGTGTTGCGGAAGTGGCTTTACATCGCACTTCTTAAGGTGTGCTGTATGCAGACGGGTGAATTGCTGAGGTATTTGCCAGTTGCGTTGAAATGACCATTTGTGCAAATCAAGTGAAATACAGTTTCCTCACGTGGATTTTTTTTTTTCTTATCAAGGCAGACAGCATTCTTAAAAAGATTAGAGGGAAGGCATTAGACGTAAGAGAAAGCCAAGTTTCTATCTACCAAATGTAGATTAGGCTACTTCTTTTCTGTTAGCAAGACAGATTATTTCATATACAAACAGCCTGTTCAGTGATGGAAGATGTTATTGACTTGTATATACATGTTTCCTTTTAAACCTATACTTCTCAAGGGTTTGTTCAGATTGAAGCACCTACTTTTAGTTTAGGATGAAATTCAGTCTTCCTCCGACAAGACTGTTGTTTGGTTAACCTGAAGTAAAATGTTCTTTTCCATCTGGCGCCACAGTATTTAAATTCTGCGTGGAACCTTTCACATGCGCTTTTCATTGTGCTTAATGTAAGACATGTAATATGACAATTACACCTACTAAGTGAGATTATTGTATGTGGCTTTTCATTGAATGTTGTTTGAAACAGAGGATTAGTTTGCACAACCCATTTTGAGTAATTAACAGTTTGGAGCAAATGGTTTTGGCACTGAGACCATATCTAGTTGTCAAAGAACAGTGTGGGTAATCACACTAAAGTTCCCTTTTGTGCCTCTTGGTTGGGGTGATTTACAAAACTGGACTGCAAGCTCTTTGGGGTGCAGATTATGCCTTCTGTGGAACTGCTAGCATACTTCAGATATTAATGCCGATATCCCTATTTGTACCATTCGGACATCTCTGGTAAAGAATAATTGGCATAAATTCAAAATGGAATATTCCATGCAATTTCCCATTTAATAAAACTGTTATTGGCTACTGCCGATGTGAACTCTGAATGAAATCACTCTTCCTTTCTCGGACTTCCGCAGCAGAAGAAAAGTAGCCCTGTTCCTTATACTCAGCACAGACAAAATGTCTCCAGATAAAAACCCCTATGTATTTCTAGATTAGCTGAGATCAAGCAGTTCTAGTCTCAGAATTAACTTTGTATGTCCAGAATTTAGTGGTTATTTAAACAACACTTTGTTGTTATGTTTTCTTTTAGCACTTCAGAAGTACTTTTCAGTTAAATTTGCTTGGTATTAAAAAAAAAAAAGGGAAGGCGGGAAGATGACATAAACCCTGGATTACCATCACCTAACTTTACCTGCCTAAAAGTTAAGCATCTGGACTATATATATAGAGAGAAATAGGCATCTCCAGAGGATGATTGCTTCTATCCATATTTCTTCATTTGCTGTAGAGGAGTCTAAATGAGAGATGTGTGGATGGCTGAAGTTAGGTGAGGCAAGTCGCTCCTACGCCAGTACAACTAGACAAAACGTCCTGGTGCAATGTCGTGTTTGAATTGTGACGCTCTGATGCCATGTTGAGATGTTGGTACAGCCTTATGCTTCTGCATGAACAGAAATGAGGAATTTGAAATTAAAGTTTTCAAGGGAAAACATAATCTCTTGATAGGTGATTCTTACAATTCCAGTGGTATGACGTTTGTTTACCAAGTGGCAGAGTTCTAATTATTATTTCCCTAATTCTGCTGAATGTAGTAACTTGCTGTTACCCTGTATGAGTAGAACTTAATTTTTAAATGCTTCCTTTTTTTTACTTTGTGGTTGAGATCTTTTTTCCCCATTTATTTCTGAGAAGATAAGAGTCCATCCAAATATACCTTCCTGCCAGTCTTCTCACCTTGTGGCATTTAGCTACAGCTCTTACTGTTTGCAAATGATTTTGAAATGGATAGTGTGGAAGACCTGGTTCTGCCTTCGCATGAAACACTTACCATATAGGTGCAGTAAGATAACAAGCTTTCCCTGCATCAGCACAAGCCAGCTCTAATTTGCAGAGAGCTCTGGTAAGGGTAGGAAAGGAATTTGTCTTATATTCTCAGTCTCTGGCTGCTCTAATGGGATTGCCAAGATGGTATCAGATGTAACATTGCTGATCTGAGACTGTCGTGTTTCTGTCTGTGTTAATGAAACACCATTTGGTATTTTCAGTTGTTCATAGTTCAGTTTGACATTTGGACCAGTATCCTGGAGTTGAAAGATGCATGTCCTATTAATAGTCCCCTATAGCCACTGTTTTTGTGATCAGCTTGCATATATTACCCACAGCCACTTCAATCTGAACAGACTCATTTGCATGCTGTGCAATTTACAGAACAGTGTATACACTAGCCTCCAGCATACAAGAAAAATTTGCAGTGTTGGAAGGGAGCTGTTGATAATAAAACAGCATTGTGGGTTGCTGGAGCTTTTCCAGTCTTCCTCATGAGTCCTGATGCTGCTACTTTAAAAATTATGCATGATCTGAAAGATGCCAAGTGCTCTGGCAAAATGCCCTGTCTGTTGTCTAAATGACTCAAATATCCAAGCAAAACTGTATCAAACAATATTCAATCAGCTAAGAATAAGCAGGAAAAAAAATTGCATCTCAGAAGAAAGTCTTTACCTTCTGCAGAAGTGTGAAGTGCCTCAGCTATATCTGTATCACAGCTATGGTACAGCCTTGCGGTCTGAAGTATGAAGCATTTAACCAAGTGAAAATACCTTGGTAGCTGTGCTTTTTTTGTACCACGGCTTTTTCTGTATACTTTGTATACATAAACCTTTATTTTTTTTACAGAACAGTGTCTGTATTAGTATTACTTTTTCTTTTTTTCTTTTAAGTGATAAACTTTCAATAAAGGTAAAAGGTGAATGGTCATAATTGTGGCCCAGCTTTCCCAGCTGTATATTGGGATAATGTGGTTTGGAAGCTGTTTCTAACATGAATGCCAAAGCAGCTTGCCAAAGCATTCGAGTAAGTGGATTAAAGTTTTTGTAAGGGATGGAGGGTGGGCTACCATCCAGTGGAGTCAAAACAGAATCAGTACAGAGTACCTTGGCTGAAATAAGCTTGTGCCAAGGACTGACTTTTCTCCTAAAAAAGGAATTAATGGCTCTTTGGGCTGGAAAGGGGAGAAGTGACTATCATTTCTAGTGTGAGAAAACTCTAGAGTGTATCATGCTGCTGCCAATACGAAATTACTTAGCAAGCAAGCAAACTGTCTTACTATGTTGTTTTGTGCATATTTAACAGTCCCTGAACAGAAAATATCTAGAGATTGAGGCAGTCTGTGGAGAGAAAGGCTTGATCAGTTTTCTGGCTGCAAGCATGGTTTTTGCTGGGAAGGGCTAAACATGTACTTCTCCTAAAGAGAAGCGCTAGCCATGTCAGAACCCAGGTTTCCATTGTGCCATATTGCCTCCTCACTTCTTGCTTATTTTGTGTTTCGCTAGGTAAATGATAGTTAGATGTATATACGTTTCTGTTATCTGTGCCTTTTTTGAGAGATTATTTTTAGCTTCTAATTTGAAACTGTCTTGCTTTAGTTTTGTGCAGTGTAAAGATGTCTAGGTATTCAGGTGGACAAGTCAATTTTCTTTTCCTTTTTTGTCTTTTTAGGAGGCTTGTGTGTGTGTTGTAGTCTAGCCTCTGATATTCCTGATGAAATAATGTACTCCATATATTTTTTACATAAAGGTAAGATTAACCTGTTAAGTTATGCTTTATTTTGGAGAATGTCATTTTGCTGAAGAGTCACAGAATGCCTTGCAAAACGAATAACTGCCAAAGTGTCCTGACAATAAACTACTGTGGCTGGTGTTTAAAGACAGCAGCTGCCTTTAGCTGCAAAGTTGACTTTCCTGCTCTAGACTTCCTGCCTGATGCTGAACGAGTAACTTCAAACCAGCGGTCTCGTGAGTGGCTATTAATTTGGTCCCTTATTTCTAGCCAGACTTTCCGGCGTGCTGAGCACAAACATCAATGAAATCTGTGGGAGCTTGCAGGTGTGTTGTACTTATGCCATCAGGCATTTGTATGGGAAATAGAGCCAACAGCTCTTAGCTGGAATGTCTGTTTAGAGTTCCAGTTCAACATGTCATTTTCACAGCAAGAGGTGCGACACCCACTGACTGTAGGAATAGTTGCTATATACGTGGTGCTCTAGCTCTTAATTTTAAGACCTATTGTTTTTTTCTTGAAAAGAATAAAGAACATTGTTTTATTCTGATCAGAATAAAACTTGTCATTAGCAAGATCGTTCTCATTTGATATATGGAGGAGAGAGGCTAGTTATTTCTCAATTGAGAAGCTGCATATTATGGAGTAACCGTGTTCAAGTGGACAACGTACCTCTGTTTTACTTTAAAACTGTTTGCTTTCTTGTGTCAGGAAACTTTTCGTATGTCAGAGCTGCACTGACATGTTGCTTTGCTGCTGGAACGTTGTGGGATTGAATGAACTGCATTTTTGTGCTCTTGAAGGCGTTAACAAATTGGAAAAGTCCATTCTGGGTGTGGCAGCACTCTGCATTGTACTGCTGTGAAGGGCTGATTTCCCCAGATGTACTTGGTGTGTAGCTGAAGGGTGGTTGCATTGCTTGGAGCCAACCATGGCCCTTGTACATCCCTATCTGTACCAGGAAGAAACTGAGGGTAACTATGGTGACATTGACCAGCTGCATCTGAAATGACCTTCACGGAACAGAGTTGTTTGGTGCAGAGCTGTTTGTGGATTCATGTAAGATTCATCAGTCGTACGAGAGAATTTTAAGACTGGTCCTGAGGTGACCCACAGAAGCAGCGGTATATCAGGTCCATAAGCCACATTTTGGAGACATAAAGAGTTCAGTCTGTGCTGCAGCATCTGTAAACTCGGAAGGAAGCTTCCCACCCCCTGTTAAAGCAGTCTCTTGATGTACCATAAATAAAAAAGTCGTGATGTTGCAGGTGTATTCTGCAGTGCTGGTATTAGCTTGCATGTGTTTGCGTTGGCAAGTAACAGGGTGGTGATCATGAGTATACTGACTCACTGCAAGCAAAATTCAGTCACTATCTTGTGTGAAAAACTATTTGGTTTATATACCCCTTCATCTGTAGTGTTGCTGTTGGTCTTGGAGGTCTCATTTTTCTTTTTGCAGCATAGATAAAGCATCTCTCTCTGCTAGTGTCAGGAATCAAAGTCCTGGATGAGTGGCTGAAGCATGGCTCATGATCTATTTTTTTTTTTTTTTTTTTTTTTTTTTCCCTTGATGGTCCTGTGAACTGTGGATTTATCATCTTATCTTGAATTTTCGTGCAGTATTAAGTAGCATCCTGATCATGACACTATTCAGCCTTTAGGATACTGCAGCATGGACATTTGGAGGCCAGTCATTGCCTCCTTAACTATTTTAATCTTCAGCTTTTCTCAGAGATTGAGGAAGTTTGAGGGCTCTATGTCACTCTTACTGGATGCCAGAAGTAGTATGGTGCAAGTCTAGAATAAAATAGCAGCTGTGCTGATGCAAAGCCCATGCAAACACGGCAGGTCTGAAATTAGCCTATGTTTAGCCAGAGCTGAACTAAGTTACAGCAATAGGACATGCAGATAAACAAACTGGGAATTCTTTAAAGCGGATGAAAGACCACCAAAATGTGAAGCACAGCTATGCTAAGGGTTTGTGTTTGTTTGGGTTTTTTTTTGGGGGGGGGAGGTATTTTTACACAAGCTTGCTCTGGGATGGAATGTTTCTTTAAACATGAACATAGGCTGTGCAGTGCATGGCTGTTTTCCGCGTACTAAAGAACTGCATTGTGTGGGTGCAGGTCTACTAAGTATGCAGCAACTCTGTTTAGGATGAAGTAAATCTGTCTGTGCAGACAAGCCTGTAAAACAGTCTAAAATATCTCTGTTTGGGTATGTTGGCACTGCTGAAGTTTCTAGCTATAAAGTCATACTTGGCTTGTAACAGATGGTGTTTATTGTTGGGGTTTTTTAAAAGTATTATTTTTCCCCAGGTTACAACAAAACTTTTACAGTTTCTCTAGAACGAACAGAATCTCATCAATTGAAGGAAGTGGCTTTTATGAATCTTGGTAGGTTACTTGTGTTACTTCCCTGTGTGACTGCCAGTCTCTGTCCCCAGTAGGGAGACAAGTGGCTAACCCTTCTCTAGAAGGAAAGGATTTTGTTTTTTCTTGACTTTAAGTAGTTGTGTTATTTTGCTGCTTTTTGTTGCTTAACTTTTATATTTGGCATTTGATACTGCAATACCTCACTGTTAGTAAGCAACTTCCTCTGAAATTGCCTCAGAATCTGCTCTGGAGATCAGCTGCTGAGTTCTTGAGTGTCTCAAGCCTCTTGAATCCTCCCCTGGAAACCCAAATGCATTGCTAGTGTTTCCTGTGTTAATACAACAGCAGCTTTTAATTAACTCCTTTTATATTTCCTAGATATAATCAATTCCATCAGAGAGAAGTGTGCCAAGATGAGAATCATGTGAAACAGCCTCTTAAAGCAAATAGGTGAACAAGTGCTAAATTGACCACTGTTATTTCTTTAAATAGACTATTATGTGGCTGCTTATTTGCCTGGCCAGTTCCTGCACCTCCTGAATATTCAGCATCCTGACCTGCTGTGCTATAGTTTATTTCTGACAGGTATAGTAAGACTGCTGCTTGAAGTGGTTTTATTGTTGTAGTGGAAACTTGTTCAAATCTCTTTACGTGAAACTTGTATTTCTCAATGTTTGCTTTATTGCACAGTGTTCTGAAGAAGAAGGGGAGAGATTGAAAAAATAAGAGTGGTATTTTTGCCACTTTCCATTTTAAAAAGAGAATCTGAAGTGACACTTCATCTATTACGTATTTCTAGCTTGTTATGAAATGGAAGAAGACCTTTCACTGAATTTGAAATTTTTTGCCTTGGTTTCGTAGTTTCCCTTCCCCCATCTTTGCACATGCTTCTCCATCCTCCACTGTTCTCAAATTTCACATGGAGATGTAAATTTGATTTTCCATTTCCTTCCTCCAATTGAGTTGTTCTAAATGTGTGTGTTTGGAGGGTGTGGGGAGAGGAAATCTGTGTTTCCTTCACCTGATCAGGCTGATGCAATTTGATTTAGAGTCTCATCTGAGAGGCATGTTATTTCATTCCCAACAAACATGTCTTTGTGGGAAGTGGGTTATTTTTGGAAGTGGGGGGCCTTTGTTTGAAAACAGAAATCTGCTCTTCTGACTGGGTGAAGGAGAGGTAAGTAGTGGGAACTGGTGCAGGGGCAGCATCACAGGAAGCTAATACCTGTTGTATATACATAATGAAATACTATTCTGCTAGAAATGAGTGGAAAGCATCACTGTGGTATGGCGGGCCTGATTTCTCTGATGCAAAGGGTCTGGAATCCTACTATATAGTACTGTGGTGGTCAGCCTTAGTACTAGCATAAATAAAGTGGTTTCGATCTGGTGCTTCAGTCCGTAATCATAGAACAGAACCTTTCTGTTCCAGCCATTGGGATTGATGGTAAGAGATCCACCAATGCAAGTTTGTGTCATGATTCTGCATGTGAGCAGTTCTGAACTGTACCAGTATGCCTAGGTGCTAATTCTAGTGTTGAATCTCTAATACTAGCCTTGTGCCCTTCTCTGTTCCATCCTATGTACTCTGATTTGTCCTGTATCAGCACTGTGAGCCTCAGGTCTGTACAGCTTCTCTGCTTCGGCAGTAGGGAAGGAGAGAACTGAGTATGGACTGTGTTCCTCATTTACTTCCTTTACCCAGCCAGCACCATTCCTTCCCCTCTTCAGCATAATACCAGGGCAGCTAGTACAAGAGGCAGGCTGTTTCTTACTGCTGGGGACCTGGGAGTCTTAAGAGAAATACTGATAGCAGTCAAATTTTATGTTCTTAGTCCTCTTTATTTTCAAACCAATGTTCTTCAGGTGAGGATGCAAGAATTGATGTGTTGCAAAACTGCTCCATCCGATCCCCACTCGTGTCAACAGTCTTGGATTGCCACATAGGAAGTATGTATGCTGTGAGCATCAGTGACAGTGCCTTACTACAGTTTCTACAGAACAGCAAACGAGACAGCGAGAGATTGGCAGCTCTACATTGTGCTCTATTGCACTTCCGACACACAGAAGGCTTGGAAATGCAGGTGGGAAAAGACCCTCCTCTAAGTTTTTTCAGTGACTGATGTCTTATATAAAGCAGGGTCAGGGCATAAATGATATCGGCCAAAGAAAAGTCCTGATTCACATGTACCTTTTGGCAGTGCCAAGAGGCTCATCAGCTGGGCTGCCCAAACTGCTTTATTGTTCAAGGCTGTCCTGAAAACGTTTATCTCTGTATCACTACTTCATGCAGAGTGTTACTACCAAAACGAAAGTTTCTACAGTCTCTTACAACACATGCTTAAACAGAGAGACGTGACAAACTCCCCTGTTCTCATTCTGACAGATTATTCGGTGGATTTCTGAGAACCTGTCAACATGTCATTCTTTTGACCCCATTCAAGAATTTATCATTGGTAGGTATTTCTCTTCCTGCATGCTGAATTTTCCTGCATACCCTAGTTGTGACTTAAGGAGAAACCACAATGTCACAAACTGACTCTCTTCTTTCCAAACTTTTTGGTTATGATTTATGTTAACTGACTTGCATTTTGTGGTGTTAGAGACAACATCAGTAGTTTCGAAGATACATAGATCTCCCAAATCAGATTGGCAGTAAAACTTTTCAAATGCATTTTTCTGTCTAGTGGGACAAATAGATTTATTGTTATTTTAGGTCATTGGAGTGCAAATTCTCCATCTGGCTCCCGTCTTGGATATCTGGGATGTAAATAATTGAGATGGGAGCGGAGGAGCAAATCTCCTCTAGGCCAATGCAAACCATTTTTTCATAAGGATTTGGCATATCATGATATTCTCTTCTAATAACTGATTCCTCAGCCTAGCCAGTGCATGTCCTGTGCCCTGAGCCTTTGTACAAAGGACCCCTGCAGCGCTGAGCTGTAGCCAAGCAGCTGACCCGGCCCTCCTGCCATCTGGACTTCTCTTCCTCCTTTTGTGCACAGAATGGGACCAGTTCCACCACGGAGGAAGCCATTTCAGAGACGGCAGCAGGATTTGTCCCTAAAAAAGTGTTAGATAAGGAACTGACTGTGAAGCCTACTCTTTTTAACTGATAGTTTATACAATCTTGCCCTTATAAATGTTTTTACATTGCATTCAGCCTCCCTGTACTGCAGAATGTGTCCAGAAACTCACAACCTGGATAAACTTTTGCCCTACACGTCACTGCTTGACTGGATTGGGGTAAGATAACAGCTGGTGCTTTAATTAATAGCTAGAGGGAGTCTATCTCTTCTCCTTTAATACAACCTTTAGCTTGTATGCCTTACCTCTTCATAGACATGCTCTAAATCCATATCTCTGCTTTATGCTCATTTTATTTTGTAAAGTGGTGTTTTCCATGAGTCCTATTTTTTGTGAACAAATAAAAGCATTTATGAAACAAGAATAGCTACTATAATGGAATGGATGATTAAATCTCTCAGTTTTCATAATGAGGTAGTAATTTATTGCTTATCATATGAGGTTTATAATGAATACAAAATATATTTAACCAGCAAAATCATGCAGTTATTTCCAAGACAAACAGTATCAGTGGAGTTACGATTTATGAGTAAGTTTGCAGAAGTAAAATAACTTTAGGCAAGACCCTACAGTTACAGCAAATAGCTTATTTTAATTTCTCTGATCTGACACTGTTCTAATATGTTGTCTATTTTTTAAATGAGATGAACGAGAGAAACATCTTCCATATCTCTTTTTGGCAAAACTGAATGTACAGTTTTGGCTAGCTAGCTAGTTTCACAAAGGAAACGGGTAATGGAGATTCACTTAGATACCCAAACAGGCCCATGTTTTGTGCTAAATTATTTATATTCTTGTCTGTATTCATAGATTATCCCTGGAGTAACATGTGCAACAGACATTATTTCTCTACCTGTGTTAGAGGTAAGTTCCAGTATAAAACCACATTCATATTTGCAGGTTAGGAGGTTTTTTTTTTGTGGAGTGGGGGTGTGCTGAATACTAACAAAGCAGTGTCCCCGCAGCCCTATGCAGAAATAGGGGTGAACAGGTAATTGCCCTGTTTGAAATGTCTTAGGTATTTACTAAAATATCAGCTATTCAGACTGATGTTTACTAGGTGAAAGATACATATTTTTTTTTCCCCTTTTCTGAAGAGACTTCTTCCATTCAACAGGGAAGGTCCTCCAAGAATTAATTCTTATTAGATTTGATTGATACCTCTTCATTTTATGACTTCATTAGCTGGAGGTAAACTTGGCGCGACAGACATGTAGGATTTCTACATATCTCTACGTATACCCACTTTGTGGGATATTTCATTGTGCTGCCATTGGTACCAGTGGTTCGTGACCCTGTCACTTTGTTTTGTCCAGAGCATCCTGTGATTGCACTGATGTCAGGGCTTTGGCTACTTAAATCTAGACAAATTCTTGCACAGCCTGGAAAAGGCGGTGAGCTGGATGGGAGAACACATGCTGTTTGGGTAGGAAATTGTACTTTCCATTGAAAACAACATGAATGATTCTTCCCGTCTTCCGTTCCACTCCCTCAGCTCCAGTTTAGAGAAATACTTGAAATTTTCCTAAGTGTTCCCCTACAAAATCTGAAAGAGACTTTTAATAAGCAGCTGCTTGTGGAGGGCTAATGGGAAGAGTGAGAGCTTGAACCCAACAGTACCAGCAACACATGGGAGTAGACTCTGGATACATGACAATATTGTTTCACATAGCACTTTAAAGAGGTGAGAGTCTGTTTCCTCCCCAGTGCTTATAATAAGCTCATAAAGCTTCAGCATTCACAAAATCTTTTAAAATCAGTGAAATTACCCACTGCTCGCTCACTCTACAACACTGCATTACAGCTGTGCTGCGACAGATTCACGTGACTGCTGTCAGGGAATGGGGCTTTGCATGCTTTGCTTGGGAAGGCTGCCTTGAGAGCTGGGACACCTGGGAAAATCAGATCTTGAGAAAATTTGTTGCTAGATAATCCCTGTAACTCACTGAGGTCAGAGTTAGCAGGCCTTTAATTTGTCTGAGATTGAACCTCAAGCCCCTGGGGGCAAATGCCTTTAGCAGCTATACTTCCTGATTGTGGAACTCATTTCCTATTTCTGTCTGAAACCTAAACAGATTGAAAAGGTCAGAGTTGAACTAAAGACAAATATTTCCTGCTACTTTTGACTGCAGATTGCTCTGACTTTTGAGTGAGGACAAAGATGATAATACACAGGGTAAGGTTTAGTGCTTTGGCTGCTTTGCACCACACCAGTGACACAAACCCACCATAGCTCGAGTTCAGCCGGTCAGTTGTTGGGGTTTCAGTTGGTGTGTGTTGTTGGCATCGCAAGTCAGACCCTGGTGACAAATCTGCTCCTGTAAGTAGTATTTCTTTTGCAAAGATTTTATGCCATTTCACAGAAACAATGGTGAATTGTTGCTTTGAGAAGCTTTTTGGAGTTCTCAAGCCCATGAATTGTTGAGAGCCTTCGGGAGGGCTATGCGCATATTCACAAAAAAATTGTGCTATTTGGGTAACAGGTGTATTTGTATCACTAAATTCCCGTTCAGCGAGAGATATTGAGACAGTGTGTGAGAAAGGGGGAACAGTCAGAGTCTGATTGTCAAAAAAGCTTTACATAAGGACCTTAATAAATAAGAGTCTGTTCCCCCGCCCCCCTTTTTAAACACAGAAGCCAAACTTGAAAGGGTGCGAATAGCCTTGATCAGAAGGGGAGGAGGAAGGGGCAGGAGGAATAAGGGAAGAAAACAGGAGGAGGTCCAGGAGAAGAGCGAAGATGTGTAGTGCAAGCAGTTGTTAGATCAGCACGGGAAAAGGCGGCCTCTCCATCATGCTGTGCTGAGCCACTGGGGTGAAGAGTGATGTTTTAAGGAGTAGCCTGTGCAGCTACATAGTTAGTTACGCGGCTCTCTGAATACCTTCACTGCTGGGGAGATGTAGCACTACAGTTCCTAGGGAGAGCACATGCACCTCTTAAAGGTCATTGGCACCCTGCATCCTTTCAGAGGGGTATAGCAGAGAGCTCTCTTTGTCTTCAGTTAAAACAACACTACTTATGAAAGGCTCCACGAGAGCTTTTCATGGATTACAACCTGGTAAGGACTTGCTTTGACTTCTGGTAGTACAATGTCTTTCAGGTGCTCATGCTTAGGTATTAATTCCTGACTCCAGAAATGTCTGCAAAATGAACACCACCTAAGATGAAGAAGCCTTCTCTTCCTAGTCCTTGCCCTGATGATCCTCAAGAAATAACAGATTTAATTAAAATAATCCCTTATTTTAAACTTTTTAATGAGGACTAATACAGTGCAGGTTTTCAGTGGTGTCTGCTTTTAATTCTGAAGTCTACCGCTTCCTGTGACAGACTCAGTGTACGAAAGAAACTTGCTGGCTTGCTTTCCCCCTGCCACACATCAAACAAAATCCAGTGTGGCCTGAATGCAGTTTTGCAGTGGTGGTGCTATCGCAGTTGCATAAATTGGTCACTAGATGATACCCTTACACTATATTCTTGGTATTTCTCTGATTTCATACTGGTAACATTTAGGCAACATACTGCAGTAGTAGGTTGTAGATCTTGTTAGTTAGCTCCAGCAGGGTGAACATATGGTGCCTTATGCGCTCCTAGTTCCCAGCTGCTAAATATAACTAACATGAAGCAAAAAGGAGATTTATTTTTCTCTGCTGCAGCTACAACAATAAAGTGACAATCGGCACTGGCAGCAACAGGGAAGTGGCTGGCAGGATTGAGTCTCTGCAATTTATTTTCCTTGGCAAATTGTAGTTTATAGTAGGAAGTGGTTTTAAAGGCTTCTGATGTTTTTTTCTAAAGTTATTTTCGTTGTAGAAAAAGTAGGGGAGAGAGAGCAAAATCCAACATGTTCATGCAAGACGGAGGAATATTGTGAACTCAAACTTCTCTTCCTTCAAATGTCACTAGTGTCTGTATGGAAATGTAAATGTGTATAAAGAGGGGCAAGAACAGCTAGTACCATCTCTTGTTTTTTAAAACTGCCAAAAAGAATTGCCTTAATCTCATCTCTTCCTCAGCAATGATCACATCACTCCCCTTTTATAAACAGTGGCTTCAAATCTTTATACCTAGTCCAAGAACTAGCTCAGGAAACCAGTGTGTGTGTGTGTGTGGGGGGGTGTTTCCCTCCTGTCTGTTCACAGCTGAGTTTAAATTAATTTCAGTATTAGTCAAAGGCTTTAGAATTGCTATGGAAATGATTGGATTTTGTTTCTTTTCTGGGATGAGGCACTGTTACTTGAAGTTGGCAAATGGATGTTTGCAATGTAAGTATTAATGGAGCTTGAAAATAGCGGCAGCCTGCAGCTGTGCTGGGGTCATTATGGTGTTCCTCTATTTGGAACTCCTAGAAGCCCAGAATGGGATTTATTTGACCAAATGTAAACATTTACATATAAGTCAGTTGCCTAAGGCTCCTTTTACAGCCAGCGGAAGTCTAGACAATATGGCCAGTGTAGTCTGTGGTGCAGTTCCTCCCATCCCATCCCAAACATCTGAAATAGGTCAGATGAATTATGACCTAGAAGTACTCATTTCTTCCCAGTGACTTAAAAGGATCCTAAGGTGGCAAAGTATCTGCATTACAGGCACCAAATCTTGACCTCACATTTAAGTAAGTGCTACCCCTGCCATCAAATCAAGGAAATTTAAAGTACTGGAAAAAATAGTGTAACTGCTTTTGTTTAACTTTTTTCACTTAGATTGTTATGAATCTACATGAATCACAGTTCTTTCCAATCACTTAGTGGGAGGGTGATTAGGTATTTCTTTAAGAGTGCAGCCTGTTATTCATGCTTTCCCTGCAATACTTTGCAGTTCCAAAACTCCAAAGGCTTCTGGGAGAAACTCAACTCAAACTTGGAGAGTGTGAAATATGCAGAGCCGCACTTGCATTACCACAATAACGTGCTCAGGAGGGAATGGCGTAACCTTTCAGAAGAGGTAAATATGCATGCACTTTCAGTCAGTCTCCAGAGCTGCCTCTGAAGTGGATGGTTTAAAGCCAAACATGGAAGAGTTAGCTTTTTTTTATTTTGGGGATAAAGAAATGGGAATCTGATTATGGGAAGTGCGAAGACTTGCAGTCATTTTACTTATAAGGTGTTTGCCTGTAAGTCTTACTCTGTTAAAATAATACTAGAAACTAAACAAAAGCAGAGCTTGCACGTACCTGTATTGTCATGTAGGTTAGATGCGTGAGTGCCTATGAGCATGGGTAGTTGGAAGGTGGGGTTGAAGCTCCACTGTGCATTATTTCCATTCAAAGAGAAAACCAGCTTCATTTCTTATCTGCATTTTATAAGGGAGTATTTTAATTTGGCCGCCTAGTTTGTTCATTTGGGGATTTTTGTTTGTTTACCAACCAGAGAGAGGAGAGAAGAACCACAGCGTATTTGAGAAATATTTTTGAAAATGCCAAAAAGTAGGTACCATTTTCTATTGTATTTATCCTTTCTTATTTTTTTGAAGTATGTTGAAGGATTTAATGTGCCATTTCAATAGTTGATTAGATGTCTGACTAGATATCTTAATTTAAAGAAGATTATCCAGCTGAAAATCAATTATTGGAATCCTTATAATCACTACAGTGTGATCTGAAATATCCAGGCCTCTAGAGCTGGGGAATTTATGGTAGACACGAAGAGTTATTCTAATGCAACCGAGACACAGAATTTTTTTTAACGCTATTTCATATCTTTACTAAATGTACTCACGTGTACAGTTCTTGGATTTCTTTAGCTGTCTTTGAAAGATCAAAGGGTCATTTGAGCTTTTTAATGTCCTTATGAAATACTTTAGAGTAATGCATATGAAACAAGCTTGATTTTTGTTTCAAACCCCAGGGTACTTTCTCATCTGGACACTTGGGACTCTGGTAAGTAAAACTTGTCTTGATGTAGGCTTCCGCTGTAAGGTTTATTAGAATATTTCCGTCTAGCTGCTGTTGGCTAAAAATAAATTGCTGTGTGTGTTTTCAGCACTGAAGAGTTCGAGGCATTAAGATGAGCGGTTATTAGACTAGAGGAAAACTTTCACTCTGATAGTGGTGGTAGGATCATATACTGACTAGGAAACCTTTGAAAATAGTTTCTACTTTGTATTGGATCTAACAACATAAGCAGTAAATCTTTGTCTGCCTAAGGATTTCTTCTTCAGGATTTTTCTCCTGGAGCAGAGTATCAGTGACGCCATGTTACTGCTGAGTCTTGTCTGCTTATAGCTGCCTTTGCAGCTCTAGAACTTGCGTACAGTAGGAGATTATGGCTGGTGAAAGATCACGGAGTAGAGAAAGCAGATGCGTAATGAATTTCCCCAGGCCAGGAACACTTGGGATTTTGTGATGCTCAGTTCCCCTGGCACAAATAAGTAAAACTGAATTTAGTAGTAAATTATGTTCCTGCTGTTCACCATTAGTGCCTTCTATGTGCCCTGCCACCGTGTGCTGTGAAATGATACTGATCTAAGTGCTGCTCGCTCCTTTTATTATGAAGAATTTTCAGTGCGTTCATTTCCAGGCCCTAACACAGGTCATCCGCGCCACTGCTGGTTATTGCTATGGGCTCTGACTTTGAGGGACCTTGTATCAATTTTGTTAGCCTCAAGTTCATGTTTTCCAAAGGTGCTTATTGATAAAGAAGTCAGATGTTTAACTGTTACTAGAGAATTTCTAGATAGCTGCCAGCCGGTAACAAGCATCAGTGTAGTGTATCTTCCCTGTAGATTTTTCTTCAGGTCCTTTAAAATAAAGCAACACAGGTCTTTGTGCTGCTAAGTGGTGCAGTAAATATATTTCAAGGAGAGCAAAGATGGCTGGAAAGAACTTTGTAAAAATTTAGCACTTGGATCTGTAAAATGTTGACTTGATTTTATGCTACATGATGGAAGAGGAGATTGTTTTTTCTTCCTGTGTTAGTAGACAGGAAGCACTGATTAGGAAATACAGGGTATTAAATTTCAGTAGATAACCTCCCTCCATTTGGTTAGAAAAGTTGTGTTCTTTTACATAGTGGTCTGCAAATCTGAATAACAGAAGCAGCTAGATCATGGGAGAGAACCAGGAAAGTGGGAGGTGATTCTGTGGAGTGTTTACTTTGTGTCTAGAGATTTCCTTGGAAAATGTATGTAGCTGGTTTAGCTTGTTTGTTTGTAAATGGCAAGTTCTAAATAGCATATGTATTTGCACTGGTGTTACCAGAAGGTTCTCTGAGCCTCTTTGCTCTACTGAATCACCATGCTGTGATAACTCTCCCTTAAATATCAAAGAAAACAGTAAGGCAAATAAAGCGTAAAGTGGTGTGACAGGCTTGTGTTCCTCTATGCTCAATGTTAAGCACTTGAGGGAGAAGGTGGCAGATACAGGGTTATTTTCCATTCCTCAGTTCTCTCTTACACAGTCCTTGATTCTTCACTATCTTAGTTCTGTAGGTGAGTAGATCAAACCACAACTTCTGTTTGTGTATGTTTCTAAGTACTTTCGAAGCTGGTTGAAGTCTTGTAGTATTTCTATAGCGTCATGTCCTTGAATGATTCTTGCTCTGTTTATTTCAGAGGAAAGGCTAGTACCTCTCTTTCAAGAGGAAGATTATCAGCAGCAATTACTAATGGGACTGGTATGTGCTTTTGTCACAGTGTGCACTAGAGGACGCATAACCTCAACAAATGTAAAGAGTAAGCTTATAAGTTCCAGTGCTAAGCAGAAGCTCACTCGAAGTAGCTATGGGACAAACATGGTGTTTCCTAAGTTTTAGAGTTCATAGTCATGATATCATAAGACATCAGGGAAAAACAGCAATGAAAAGTTGATTTGTCAAAATGCTTTTTGCATACAACTTTTTGCTTTTTGCAAGCTATCTGTTTTTTTGCTTATACCCTTTCTTTGGCTAGAAACTGTTATTCCATCCTCCTGGAGTTCATCTTAATCTGACAGTTATTTTTGGGCTACTCTACATCCTTAAAACATGTATAGGTGAATTCCCCATCCACTGTTTCCCTTAAAGATCACAGATCTTGCTCCTCAATTGAACACCTTTTTTACAGTCTCCTTTTCCTTCTGCCTCACTCCTGGGACTGCTATGGCTATTCTGAGGTCCCTTCTTCTTTTGCACTGTTTTCATTGATGATCTCCCCAAAGGATCTACCATCCTTATGCTACTGGGTAATAAATCCTATCTCAAATCCCTACCTGTCCTCCCTCTGTCTGAATACACATCTTCATTTCTCTCTTGTTCTTTTACTATTATAACCAAATAAAACTCTTCAGTGTGCACTGGAAGGTCTGAGCACTGCATCTGTGAAGAGCATATCAACGCTGTCCTGTCGGTCCAAATCTAAGGCAAATTTTCATTCTTTGCAGTCTTGTCCCCTTGTTTCCAAGTTCTGCCTCGTTCTCTGAAGCTTCTCTACATTTCTTCCCTGCAGTTTATTCAGACAAATCCAAAAAGCAGGCCACTGCTCTCCTTTGTCTATGCTTTCCTAATACCTGTATTGCTGTCCTGACACATTGAGATTAATCTACTTGTAAACTGCTTGAGACAGAGATTTTATTTGCCTCAGTTTTTCCCTGAGCTTTGAAACAAATAACACTCCATAGTGATTCTCAGCAAAGAACCGGCATGGACTTGAGTTGCAACTGGAAGCTAATGTGAGGTCAGAGAATATTTCAGAAAGGAGAGGGTGGGGAGTGGCATGGACTGTATGGTAACGAACCTCTGATTTTTAAAGAGTTTACAATTAATGTTTAATCTAAAGTTACCATTAGTCACTCAGGTTCTCAGGTTCTTGGCTACTACCACAAACTGTACTTGTGCTAGTTTTCTCTACCATAAAATCCCTCAGGTTTATTTGTATGTAATAAATACTTATATTCTCAGGATTCAATGTTCATATTAAAACCCTTCTTTCACCCTGTTCACTTGGCTTAACCCAGAGAGATGCAAGAACTGTAAGCTTTTTCTATTCAATGTCATTGAAAGTTTAATTTAGCACTCATTTTGCTGAATTTGCACCAAGTAACCATTTTGAATATTCAGATCTCCTTTTGAATTCGGCAAGCTTGTATGGTAGCTTGGGATCTCACGCTGGAACTCGAGTTTCGTAAAGGGGAAAGTTTTGTTGTGCTAATTTGTATTGATCAGGCCTTGCACTTGGTGGAGCTTTTGCATCTTTTTGAAGATGCCATGCAGACGCTGAATTGTTGGCTTTTTTTTCTAGATGGTTGCTCAGCTAAAGGATCACCTTATGAGACATCTACAGTATGTAGGAAAAAAGAAGATTGACCAAATAGTTTTGGATTACGTCGCAAACCTGGTTAGTTTGATTTCATAGTCACTATTGTGAGTAAGCATATATTTGTTGGAGGGGAGGGTCTTGGGTGTGTATTGCGTGTATATAGCATATGTTTGGTGGGAGGAGGTAATTTTTAAGATGTTTAACAGTATTTTGCTGCTTAATATTGTTTACATTGATAAAGGACATAATAATACTTAAATAATATTAAGAAGAGTTGTATTGGTTACTCAGAATACAGAAGAAACAGTTCCCTTTACAGCTTATGCACATATGGTCTACTCCCAGAAGTGAAAATGTGAACTCATCCTGAAAGTTGAAAGAATGGTCTTTAGATCTATTTTGTTTCCTGTAGAGTACATTGCTGCATGTTTTGAATAATGAAAGTGCCATCAGGGGAAATACAGATTAAGAAAAAAAGGTTTCTCTCCGATATGGCATGAGAGTAAATCATCACTACTCCTACATACTGACTTTGATGGACTTTTTGTGAGTGTAACAGGAGACAGAGTTTTGCCTGAAGAAATACATATAAACTACAGTGAAAACTTGCTTTCCAAATTCTTAATTTTCTGTCTTTCATCCTCTTAAGGAAAATTTAAAAAAATAAGTTGTAAAAACTGTGACTATTGTGCATAGAAATTGTACGTAGTTTTGTCTCTCGACATCAAATCCTTTAAGTGCAGAATACGGAGTCCACAAGAGCTCACATGGCAACTAGTAAATCATGTTCTTTGTCTTTGTGCTAGCCCTGTCACCCAATTCAGCAGAAACTCCCCACAGTGCTATTTCCTAGGGATGGAAATTTCAGGAAACTTTCTTGAGGCTACAGGTGCCTGCATCTTTTCTGAAGTCCTGTGCAAATCGGTTCTGCTGTCGACGTTACAATGTTCTCTGACCCGCTGCAGCTTCCACTGAGGTTACTGACTTTTCTATTCAGGCCTCGCTCTATAGCTTGACAAGTTGTTTTACTGGTAATCAGCAGTCTGGTTTTCTGTATCTTTATAGGAAGGAAAGAAAAATTAGTGACTGATTAAAATAGAAAGAGTACGGTGTAAACCAAAGCTTTGTACCCGAAAACAGTGCTGAAAGAAGAAAGTGGAATGTTTGTTCTCCTTTCATTCATTTTCCAGTTATCATTTCTTCATTCTTAATATAAATTAAGATTAAAAAAATATTAAAACACCTACGCAGCCTTGATCTGCAAGATGAAATTATTGTAGACTAAATCTTACAGCCAAAACAAATCTCAGCCCTCCCCATCAGCAAACTCTTGGCTCTTAGGAATTTTTTTTATAACGTCACTAAAAGCAAGAATTCTGTCAACTCAATTCACAGACTTCTCATTCTTGGAAAAACTACTATAAACAAAGATAATATGTCTCTCAAAATTGCTTCTGCCCTTTGGCTGGTGCATCTTAGGTGCTGTTTAGTAATCTTTAGAAATTATTTCGTTGTTAGGCTTGGGTTTCCCCTCAATCTAGTCAGAAACTCTTAAACCTTTCTATATCCTAAATGTTTGGAAGTTCTTCAGGGGAATGAGCTGGTTTGATTCTTCCAACAGTTTTCTGTAGCATCAGCAGCATGTATCTGAGCTACTGAAACTAATGAAGCAGGAAAATACTTGAAATTATTTGCTTGTCTGCTTTCTTAAAATATTTTTTATTACATTCAGAAGCAAAGGAGTGGCTGAGAAAAGGGCTCCGTCATGTGTAGCCACTGTATAAATCAATTGCAGCTGAAGTTGAAGTAGCCAAGACATGGGAGCATTAACAGTTTCTCATAAAACAGTAGAGTAGTGGCTGGTTGCTGTCAGAGAACTGTGTGTATTTGTATACAGAGAAGTAACCTGGGGAAGTGTGAATGAAATGCCTCAGTGGGAATTCCCTTGTTTGCCAAGGAGGTCTGCGGAGCCTGAGTACGGCTGGTTACCAGTTCACGTGCAACCTAGCCTGCAGTAATTGTTTGCATGTCCATGTTCTCTCTCCCCTGCAAGCTCTTTATCTTAGCTTTACTCTGTATCTTTCATTCTTTTCATTTCAGCGGGGCAGGGAAGGGGGGAAATAACTTATGGAAGCAGCGTGACATTTGCTGCCCTGACAGCAAGTGGAAGAGGAGGCAGAGTGAACAGCCAGCCTGTGGCACAAGAAGGAGACAGACCAAAATAAACTGTTGACATTTCTCTGAAAGTTGCTGCTGTGGCTGCACCTTTTTGGCTGATGCCTGTGGCTAGCTATCATCTGATGTGGTCTCAACTGCGGAGGAATAGCAGACAGACACCATTTGGATCTGAGTTTCCTCAGAAGGAGGACTGCCTCCTATTGCCTGCGCAGGGGGGAATCTGGAAGACAGCAAGACCCGGTCTTACTCCCTTTTGTCCTTTGCTCCTGATTCTTTTCTTTGGCTGCTTTCAGGTCTGTCTTGTACAAACAGCCACAGGAGCTGAGCACTTTAGTTCCAAATGACTTTAGTGCAACTTCAGTCTACTCAGCACCTTTGCCTGGAAATGTAGATGTTTGAAGACAGCAAGGTGCTTTGCAAATGTCAGCCTAGGCCCCACTGCATGCACTGTCTCACTGTGGATCATGTTTTCTCCTGCTAGTTTAGAACACTCTAAGGGAAATGGCTTCTGATACTTGCCCAGAAAAACCTCATGTGGTATGTCTTTGTTACTAAATGAGAAATGGTTTTGCCGTGAAGGTATGGGTTTAGCTCTTAACTTGGTTCCCCCAGGGACATGCTGCTAGCCTTGGTGAGGAAGCTGCCTGCACTCCCTCTATAAAATAGATAATGTTTCCTTTCTCTCATGCACGTCCTGTGTGTTATATACCGAAAAAAGTTCGAGACGTGGCTTCCCTTTCTGTATGTATTTTCTATGTCCATTGTTGCTGGTCTCCAAAGTGAGTAGTGCTGTTGGTGAGGGTGTCATGTCACAAGCATGCATGTATTTAAGGTTTAAGTATGTTGTGATAGCGAGGTTGACATTGACTTCAGAAGTTGTTCTCTTTCTATACCCTGCGAAAGCTGTACAGTTTGCTGTATTGTTAAGCAAAGAATATTGATTCTGGAGTATCATACCCATGAAAACAATTTTACTTGCACAAATAATAAGAGGTGATTCTGGAGTTTGTAAGAAGCTTCCCTTCACCTCAACACTGATCTTCAGATCCAGCTGTAGCTCCTGATGCAGAGGCCTTAGCTGCACCCTGTGTGCTGGCCGGAGATGAAAGTCATTCTGGAAGCAGGTGCGGTTCTTGTGACCCTTCTCTGAAAACTGGAAATCACTCATTTCCTGGAAAACGAGTGGAGAAAACTTGCCGTACTCCAGAGGGATTAAACTGGAGCTTTCCACTGCATCCAGAAAGTATGAAGATGGAAAGTATTAGGTGGTTATTCTGTGTCGGGTAGCTGTGCAAGGCTGGATGGAGTGGTGGAGGGAAAAGGTGCTACCTTGTGGAGGTACCTTGGCCAAGGTACAGAGGAGAGCACTCAGGAGCATTACTGAAGACCAATATTCCTGTTCTGGCCTTTGCATATGCACCTTTCCTGTGTGTCGTGTTTCTCTCTTGCTCAGAGTCTGTGATGAATTAGAGGTTGGAGGGGGCAGAGCTTATGAGGAGAAAAGAGAGTGGGGAAAAGGATTCCTGGACTCTGGCTATCTTGGGGGAAAAGGGGTTGTAACTTCTCATGACACCTCTCTGCAAACCAGGAGTCAGAGTTGTTTCCTGAGAGTTTCCTGGGACTGATGGATTCGTGCACTTTGAGGCCCAAAGATAAAAGGCGCAGAGGAAGTGTCTCGCTTCTGTTACTGAGAGATGGAAGTGGTTACACGTGACAACTGTGAGGGGCAGGCTAGAGGAAGTTATTTCAGCTCTTTCATGCATGGTTTCTCTCTTTCAGCTGCAGAAGCTCAGAAGGTCCAAGTGAGAACAGGGCTTGTGGCTTTTGTGTGCTGACAGTCTGTACTGGAGGTCAGCCTGAGAGCACAAAGAAGCAACAATATGGGCCAAGAGATTGTTCTACTTCACTGTGCACAAAAAGGAAACTCAATGGAGGAGGAGATGCATTTGCTTGTCTTGTCTTTCCTCCTTGCCAGGACTAGATTTGTGATTCCTCCTGCAGGCTTTTTTCAGCAAACTGAGTATTCCACTGTCTTCAGCATCATCCAGTTCTGTCTGGGCCCTAGGGATCTTTTCTTGCCAAGTGCTCAGCCGCTTGGACATGCAGTTTTTACTTCCATGGCAAACAGATCTTTGAGAATCAGATGCAAGAGTATGAGATCAGCTGATCCCCAAGAAGCATGATGTGTGAAGATGCTGAATGTTTTGCACAATGCTTTGATGAGCTGGAATCACTTACTTCAAACTTCTGGAATAGGGCAATTCATTTACAATTCAAATTTTAATCAATTTTACATTTTAAACTCCTAGGGAAAAAAAAGTCTAAGACTAAATACTGAAGTCTTAGTAGGAGTCTCATGATAAGTTTATAACATGAACTGGTGTGTGAAATGAATGAAGGTCGAGGGCCTGTTGGACACAAGCTCCTAGAAACATTCAGTCTTTTCTTTTTTGTTTTAGCTGAATCTGGTACATCGAATAATGAAAGAAGTTTGGAGGAGATACCAGCTTCATTCCTGCATCTTCTGCTTGTGAGCAAGTTTGCAGCCTACCTTTTAAAATATGGGCATAATAATTTTGGTCTTCAGCAATACTACTCGCTTGAACCGTCAGTGCTTACTCTACTGGGAATGTCAATCTGAGTGTCATGTACTCTTTTTAATGGTCCTGATGGCCCTCTCTAAGCCAACATGACTATTAACCATATAGGCAGTTTTACAGCTGGAGTTCAAAGTTGCTGAGTTCACAGTGGTCTCAAGCTGGGTAGTGGGTGTTGAACACCTGTAAAAGCCAGATCGCTTATACCAGCGCTCAAAATATTTCACCTGTTGCTGTTGATACCAGGTACTGCTGAGAGACTTGTAAATATGCAGTAGTGGGGGAAGGAGGAAGGGGACACCACAGAGACATCGTGTGTCAACATTTAGGTGAACAGCTAATGCTGTAGACAGACACCTGAGCAAACAAGGTAGCATCCCACGGCAGTTCACCCAAAATGCATGCATTTAGCGCACATGCAGTACAAGTTGACCGTATCTCCAGGAGGGTGTGGGCATCTCGGGTTCCTAATATGCTGCTACTTTGTTAAATACAGTGATGAGAGAGGAAGTACGGGAGAGTTTGCAGTGTTCCACATCATGAGTCGGATTCTGGAAGCTGCAAATGGCATGTGCATGCCTTTACCTCCTGGTAAGTCCTATTTTTTTGCTGTTTTTATCATAAGTGAGGAGAGCAATGCTATGAATTCCTCCCAGAAGAGCACTAGTTGCAGCACATGTCTCAAGTTAGCTTTGGCAGTATTGAAATCTATTCAAGACAGTTACAGAGGGGAAGACCCTCCATAAACACGTGCAAGTGAAATGAAACAAAACTGAATAGTTACTACAAATATAGACAAGAAATCAGAGGTTTAGTTCTCTGTTTTCAACTCCCAGTGGAACGTTTGGGCACAGTCTTAGCTCAGAACTAAGATTTAGACTTCTTTCATTTATATATTTTTCTTAGACAGCCCGACTTTAGTATCATGGGCTACAAGGGAAAATCCTATCCTGGAGCAAAAAAAAAAAGAGTGTTTTTTCTCATGCTGTTGCCCTGCTAATATTTTTCAGTTTTATCCTGAAAGGATTACTTCCAGCCCTGATGGAAGAGCTGATCTTGATAGTAGACTTTAATTTCCTAGGGCTCCTCATAATCGCTTAGAGTCTTTTCAAAGCACTTGCTTATTTTTGTTAGGGAAAG